TGTGTGTGTGTGTGGTGTGGGAAAAAAAAAAAAAAAGTAGTTAGTAAACAGTTGATTGACAGTTGAGAGGCGGGCCGAAAGAGCAAAGCTCAACCCCCGCAAAAACGCAACTAGTAAACGCAACTAGTAAACACACACACACACACACACACAAACGAGATCATCTGCGAGATAGAGACTGACCAGCTTGTTAGTGGTAAGCTTCTCAGCATCACTCCAAGGAAAATGTTGTTATTTCAGTTATTGTAGCTCAGAGTGATTGTCATGCGCCGTACCCCCACCACTGGCCACCCCCGTACACCCACCACTGGCCACCCCCGTACACCCACCACTGGCCACCCCCGTACACCCACCACTGGCCACCCCCGTACACCCACCACTGGCCACCCCCGTACACCCACCACTGGCCACCCCCGTACACCCACCACTGGCCACCCCCGTACACCCACCACTGGCCACCCCCGTACACCTATAACGGCCACGCACGTCGTCTTATTAAAGCTGGACGCCGTAGAGCTCAATGCCTGCAGAAGGGAAAAGGTCGAGGGAGAATTAGAGTGTATACTGTGGGAGAGATAAAGAGAAGGGAGAGACCGATCACGAGATGCAGGTGAGAAACGAGAAAAAAAGAAGGGAATGCGAGACTTGGGAGAAAATAGGAGAGAGAGAGAGAGAGAGAGAGAGAGAGAGAGAGAGAGAGAGAGAGAGAGACTGGCGGTTAAAGAAAGGGGCAGCCTATGGACAAAATGGAAAAGTAAAAATTGAGAAAAGAAAAGAGTGATGTGTAGGTCCGTGTTTTGAGAATAGGGCGAGGATGAGGACTTCATGTTGAAGAGGAGGAAGAGGGCTAGGGGGGGGGGGATGGAGAGGCAGGAGAGGGAGAGGTGGTGAGGAGGAGGGTAGGGAGAGATTCTTTTGAAGTTAAGGTGTGTTCTCTGGTAGTGGGCTGACACAGCTCTCGGCCTGAGTCTTGATATACATTAATGGAATAATTCTTATGTTGTGGACGGTGAGATGAAGCAAGGGAGCGGTCCTGAGACCAGAGAGAGTGCAGGACACGGTCCTGAGGACCAGGGAGAGTGCAGGACACGGTCTACGGACCAGGGAGAGTACAGGACACTGTCTACGGACCAGGGAGAGTACAGGACACTGTCCTGAGACCAGGAAGAGTGCAGGACACGGTCCTAAGACCAGGGAGAGTGCAGGACACGATCCTAAGACCAGGGAGAGTGCAGGACACGATCCTAAGACCAGGGAGAGTGCAGGACACGATCCTAAGACCAGGGAGAGTGCAGGACACGGTCCTGAGACCAGGGAGAGTGCAGGACACGATCCTATGACCAGGGAGAGTGCAGGACACGATCCTAAAACCAGGGAGAGTGCAGGACACAGTCCTGAGACCAGGGAGAGTGCAGGACACGGTCCAGGGACAGGGAGAGTGCAGGACACGGTCCATGGACCAGGGAGAGTGCAGGACACGGTCCAGGGACAGGGAGAGATAGCAGTGAGGTGGTTGATGAGGTAATATGTTGGAGGCGAGGAGGAGAGAGGTAGTGTGCACTGGAGATGAATGAGAGTGAATGTATAGGGAGGAGAGACATGAGGCAAGCGGAGGTGAGGAGTGTGCTGCCAGCATTAATTAAGGTGAGGCAAGGGCGTGCAGCGTGTGGGGCCTGCGGGACTCACCTCACTGTCTGCTAATTAATCTGACAAACATGATTAACCTGTTACTGCTGCAGCTCAATCTTTTTATTCCCCCCCTAATACAAAATATATATACTGAAATGTTCACCAATTATACCCTACTGACTATAATTACACGTATACTCTGTTATAACCACATATTGTACAAGGTGTGACATTTATAATAAATGTACCATTGTGTACAATGTACACATACACAAGTGCAGAACCTGGCCCCAGGCCGCACTCAGGGAGTAGTAGAACTCTCGAGACCCTCTAAAGGTATGTTCCAGGTATTCACGTAATCTTTAACATCTCCATATAATCCCTAAAGGAAAGAGAGAGAGTTATTAATAACTTGATTACTGTCACTTTACCTCGGTTAATCAATCATTATTCACATTCTTGGAAATACTTCAGATTCCCATTGTCGTGATATAGTGAGAAGGAGCGGTAATATTGGTGCGCTATTCTCGGTAAAGAGCGTGTGCTTCATGGTCAATTCCTCCGAGACCAATCTGTGTTCATTAGTTATTTCAGGCTACAAATGTTGTGCAGAGGACGTGCCTGCGTCGGGGAATCTAGGTAGGCAGGCAGGTAGACAAGCAGGCAGGCAAGCAGGTAGCCAAGCAGGCAGACACGCAGGCAGACGAACAGACAGGCAGGCAGGCTGGCAAGCTGGCAGACAGGCAGGCAGGCAGGCAGGCAGGCAGGCAAGCAAGCAAGCAAGCAGGCAGGCATGCAAGCAGGCAGGCAGGTATGCAAGCAGACAGACGAACAGACAGGCAGGCAGACGAACAGACAGGCAGGCAGACAAGCAGACAGGCAGGCATGGAAACAGACAGGTAGGATAGCAGTGTTGCATGGCTTATTGGCTGGCTTGAGTGCTAGGGTCAGGTGATTGGCCACCAGGGTTGGCCGGTTAGTATGCTGGCCGGTGAAACCGATCCCTGAGTATACATGTTGGGCCTGTATACTAATTAACTATATTCCTGGGTAGATTGCAGCGGGGGCTAGTTGATTGGGAGAGGTAGCTGATTGATTGAGTGAGTAGCTGGTTGATTGGGCGGGTAGCTAGTTGACTGGGCGGGTAGCAGGCTAATTATTCAGGGAGTTGGTTGATTGGGCGAATAGCTTCTTGATTGGGTGGGTAGTTTGCCATATCACAAAGGGTCTATATTAACTATTAAAAGCAAATGATGACTTCTTGTTCTTTAAAAAGAATGTCCAGGTTTTTTGTGTACTTAAAATTACAGCAACATGTGTGTGTGTGTGTGTGTGTGTGTGTGTGTGTGTGTGTGTGTGTGTGTGTGTGTGTGTGTGTGTGTGTGTGTGTGTGTGTGTGTGTGTGTGTGTGTACGTACTCACCTAATTGTGTTTGCGGGGGTTGAGCTTTGGCTCTTTGGTCCCGCCTCTCAACTGTCAATCAACTGGTGTACAGATTCCTGAGCCTACTGGGCTCTATCATATCTACATTTGAAACTGTGAATGGAGTCAGCCTCCACCACATCACTGCCTAATACATTCCATTTATTAACTACTCTGACACTGAAAAAATTCTTTCTAATTTGTGTGTACTCACCTAGTTGTACTCACCTAGTTGTGTCTGCAGGATCGAGCATTGACTCTTGGATCCCGCCTTTCGAGCATCGGTTGTTTACAGCAATGACTCCTGTCCCATTTCCCTATCAAACCTGGTTTTAAAATTATGAATAGTATTTGCTTCCACAACCTGTTCCTGAAGTGCATTCCATTTTCCCACTACTCTCACGCTAAAAGAAAACTTCCTAACATCTCTGTGACTCATGTGTGTGTGTGTGTGTGTGTGTGTGTGTGTGTGTGTGTGTGTGTGTGTGTGTGTGTGTGTGTGTCTCTCATCCGTTCTTGTGCCCAGGGGGTGCATGTATTAAAGGTGGGCGGCCTGTAGGCAGTAATCCTTCCCTCCCAGGCAGCTAATAATGATGGATTAGAGAGGGCCGTGTGAACCTTTAGGAGCCTGAGTTTTCCACCTCCTCTCTATAGTTCTTTGTAGTTGACTGCTGCTGCTGCTGGCCTGGATATTAATATCTATATTTTGTATCGACTTGAAAATGGTCCAGGACGGACCGAAACGTCGTCGTCCCTTCACTTTCTAGTGTGTGGTTTGGTCAACTCTATATTTTGTAGGCTTCATCCTGAGCTAATCTGCTTGCAATTTCATTCCCATAAATCCCAACGTGACCAGGAAACTAGTAAATATTTACAATTTGCTAGTAACCAAAGGTTCTGGAAAAGTAGAAGCACTTTGGTGCGCCTCTATCTTTTTTATTCTAAAACAAGAGTAAAAAAAAAATGGGGGAATAGGTTTACAGTGGTGAAGGCTTAGGCTAGTGTTTTCTAGAGTGTGAATTGGGTCTTTGGACTTAGTGTTTACCATTACTTTATTATTGTGAATCATGTACATGTTCAAGGCACTGAAAGCAAAGCCAGGTACAATCCAGGAATGTTTTGGTTTGAAGTACTGAGGCAATGCTGAGTCAACCCGTCCTCTCAATAGGTCACGTTATTTTATTTATTTTTTTTACTTTTTTTTTACATTTACATATACGTTGTCAATATTATCATTGTCACCACACACTCTTACACCCAACATCTTTCGCTAGCCCCTTAACCTGGCTCACAGTTACTTCACATACTAGTTCTCATACTAGTATGAGTAAAGCTAGTAAACTAGCCGTTACTTCTTCATACTAGTTACTAGTTCTCTTGCTAGGTTGTCAGGATTAATAAACGAGCGCTTACACCCTTAATCTTCGTTTAACACCAGCCGACTGGTGTTAAACACCGACTGGTGTTCTTAGGCATATTTTCTTAGTTATTCGAACAAGTGCTGACCCTCGTACGCGCACCATCTATTGTGAGCTTAAGTATCTTCATGCCTCAGAGAGCACATATCTTAATTACATGCGCTTTTGCTCCCTTGCTTTTGAGTATATATATCAAACTACTACTTGAGTATACATGCCCTTGTGAGTAATTATATTTGAGTATACATGTCCGTGTGAGTAATTGTACTTGAGTATACATATCCGTGTGAGTAATTGTACTTGAGTATACATGCCCTTGTGAGTCCATGTCCGTGAGTATACATGCTTTGCAGTGTACACGTCCTTGGTTTACTCCATTCCTTGAGGCGTGAATAAAAACATTACTATATATATATATATATATATATATATATATATATATATATATATATATATATATATATATATATATATATATATATATAAAATCGGAATGTTAGAGACTGAAAATAGTCAACTTTTCATTTTCAGGTGAGTGCCAGGGACCCCACATTCCGACAAGATGGTGAAAGCTTCTTATCATTCTCGTTAAACACCTGTCAACTCCAGGGGCCAGGTAAGTTGTTTGTGCAGGCGACAAGGCGAGAGCAGTTCGTGACTTAAGGGTCATTTGCAAGGGTTTAGTTCTTAGCTGTTATCGAGTGTCGCTCCAGATGTAGCCATAAGTTCGAACAATATCAGTTTCTTTGATGGTTGATACATCGTAAAGGTTGATTATTTATTAATATAAGTTCATGTTGACGAGACCACACACTAGAAGGTGAAGGGACGACGACGTTTCGGTCCGTCTTGGACCATTCTCAAGTCGATTGTCGATCTCACAATCGACTTGAGAATGGTCCAGGACGGACCGAAACGTTGTAGTCCTTTCACCTTCTAGTGTGTGGCCTGGTCAACATACTTCAGCCACGTTATTGTGACTCATCGTCTACAATATATGTTCATTGCCGAAGGAGGTGTAGAGGTCATATCAGGGAGAAGCATTCGTCCCCTTGTCATACGTACACCTTGCTAAGCTTCATGTTATTAGGCCGTGATCTATCATGTTCAAGTAGTGGCATACATCACCAAGCGTCCTCATGCCTCAGGATGCTTAGATGACTTTGTGTACAGCTCTTGTATAATATTACCTGGTAATTACATGCTGACGATTTGGGTAGATCTTCTATAGCATTTTGGCCTGGGCCGAGGTTCAAGAGGTAAACAGAGGTACCTACTTTTCCTGTGGCCCCGAAAATGTTCAGAGTTTGGATATCAAAATCCTCAGATTAGTCAAAATTGTAATTAATTTTGTCAATAAAGATGTTAATAATAATAATACTTAGGGACACACATCAGGCCCAATAACATTATAAAATGAACTTTGTAGAACAATTTTTTCAACTTCCTTCCCAAGCGCAGACATAAGAAATATAAGGAAGGTTCGTGCTTGAATAATTAATTTAGCCATTTCGGTCATATTCATTAACATTTGTTTACAAAGATAGACAGCTTCTAAAATATATTATTATATTTATCCATATTTGAAATAGAATGTCTGTGTGGATCTGTCTGGGTTTGTCCATTGTTGGATGGGCAGGTGTTTGGAGCAAGCCTCGCCCAACTTTGGTTGATTTTGAGGGTGATTGATTGGTTGTAGGGGACTGTCATAGGTGCGTCTGGGTCGCCTCCCATTTCAACACTTAGTGACTTTACAGTTTAAAAGTTTAAAGTTTAAAATTGTGTTCTTTTCTGTGAAAGTTTTCATTTGTTCATAATATTGTATGTTCAGAGAGAGAGATAGAGACCCGGGGACTGCCAAATACCCCATCTAGTGTGTGTGTATTTAGTGTGTGAGTGTGTAGGTGTGCTACACACTGTCCAACACTGGTATAATCTTGGGTATAACCACTGTGCATTACATATGTGTAACTTGCAACGTAACATAATTTGATATCTTGCTGTATAGCAAAGTCCGGAATTTGCTATGTAACTTTATTCGATAACATTACTATACCTTAATAGTTTACATTGACGCGAGAAAGGCTGCAAAAATCTGACTAGTAATGCTGACGGCTTTCATTAATGTTTTTGGTAGCGGCGTTGACTTTCCCTGGTCTGGGTAAGAGTAATTAATCTTGATAAATCATGCATGCACTCTGAAGATGGATTGCTTGGATATCATCCGCTGTTATCCTGGTGTACTCACCTAGTTGTACTCACCTAGTTGTGCTTGCGGGGGTTGAGCTCTGGCTCTTTGGTCCCGCCTCAATCAACTGGTATACAGATTCCTGAGCCTACTGGGCTTTATCATATCTACATTTGAAACTGTGTATGGAGTCAGTCTCCACCACATCACTGCCTAATGCATTCCATCTGTTAACTACTCTGACACTGAAAAAGTTCTTTCTAACGTCCCTGTGGCTCATTTGGGTACTCAATTTCCACCTGTGTCCCCTTGTTCGCGTACCACCCGTGTTAAACAGTTTATCTTTATCTACCCTGTCAATTCCTCTGAGAATTTTGTAGGTAGTGACCATGTCTCCTCTTACTTTTCTGTCTTCCAGTGTCGTAAGGTGCATTTCACGCAGCCTGTCCTCGTAACTCATGCCTCTTAGTTCTGGGACTAGCCTAGTGGCATACCTCTGAACTTTTTCCAGCTTCCTCTTGTGCTTGACAAGGCACGGGCTCCATGCTGGGGCCGCATACTCCAGGATCGGTGTTATATGTTGTGTACAAGGTTCTGAATGATTCCTTACACAGGTTTCTGAAGGCTGTTCTGATGTGTGTATGTGCGTTGGACTTCATCTGGTAACGCATGACCAAACGTTTCCCAAGGTCTGTCCGTAAGGCGAGTAGAATATCCATAGATTTTGAGGTCCAAAAGTTAGATGTTGTGCAGCTTCTTAATTTATCTTGTGAAGTGAATTCTTCTTTGCATTCATGTTAGACAAAGCATAGAACAAGAAGGCAGTAGAGTGGCGGTGGAAGGGCACTTTGTAAACTAATCAACGAAATGCACCTTGAAGTGGACGCCGTTCACTATATAGAGGACGTGGTCCACGTTCACTATATAGAGAAAGTGATCCACGTTCACTATATAGAGGACGTGGTCCACGTTCACTATATAGAGGACGTGGTCCACGTTCACTATATAGAGAAAGTGATCCACGTTCACTATATAGAGGACGTGGTCCACGTTCACTATATAGAGGAAGTGGACCACCTTCACTATGTATAGGAAGTAGACCACATTCACTATATTGAGTATCATTCAACAACATACAATATGCTTGTTAAGCTGGGAATTAATATGTGATCTGTTAGCATCTTCCATTTAACATCGGATTTCTTATAAAACTTGTGTATATTTTTGTGTGCACACAGCATGACACACTCTGCATCTCAGTGAGGTGAAAAACATGAACATCCCATCGTGGGTGAGAGCCTCCTTAACGTCTTGGTGAGAAATCTCCCACATCCCTCTGTGAGAAACCGCCAGGATCTCACCAGTGAGAAACCTCCCACGTACATAGTAAGGGAGAAACCCCCAACATCGTGAACTGAGACACATCCCACATCCTCCCGTGAGAGAGAAAACCCCCAACATCTTGAACTGAGACACATCCCACATCCTAACGTGAGAGAGAAAACCCCCAACATCTTGAACTGAGACACATCCCACATCCTCCCGTGAGAGAGAAAACACCCCAACATCTTGAACTGAGACACATCCCACATCCTCCCGTGAGAGAGAAAACACCCCAACATCTTGAACTGAGACACATCCCACATCCTAACGTGAGAGAGAAAACACCCCAACATCTTGAACTGAGACACATCCCACATCCTCCCGTGAGAGAGAAAACACCCCAACATCTTGAACTGAGACACATCCCACATCCTCCCGTGAGAGAGAAAACCCCCAACATCTTGAACTGAGACACATCCCACATCCTCCCGTGAGAGAGAAAACCCCCCAACATCTTGAACTGAGACACATCCCACATCCTCCCGTGAGAGAGAAAACACCCCAACATCTGAAAGTGAGAACGAACCTCCACCCCCACCACCCTCATCCTCCCATCTCCCGACCACACATATATTATTAAAGATAACTCGAATGCCACCGACACAAAATATGACACACTGCCCTTCATGCATTTATTCTCTCGCTGCTATTTTATTGCGTTTCTCCGTTCAAGCGGTATGAAATGCAACGTTTGAAGAGTTTGCTTCTAATGGATTTATTTATTTTGGGGGGTCCCTGCATTTTAAGAGAATTAAAGATGTATACGTAAAGTCGGTATTCCCTTGAAGTCATTCGCATATTTCTTGCATGCTGGCGTGTTTAAATTATTCATGTTGCATTGTTGCAATAACGTTAAAGCGTATTCTGCCATTTATATGATTTTTTTGTGTGTGTAAATATTTACATTTTAGGAGTAAGATACTGATGGTTCCGCTCCCAGATTTTAAGGAAATTTTATATATTCGCTGTTACTAAGGCAGACCACGTGTGTGTGTGTGTGTGTGTGTGTGTGTGTGTGTGTGTGTGTGTGTGTGTGTGTGTGTGTGTGTGTGTGTGTGTGTGTGTGTGTGTGTGTGTGTGGCGTGGATCTCTATGTGGCTGTCACTTACGTTGATAGAGAGAGAGAGAGAGAGAGAGTGTCTGTGATCCTCTACATCTACTCTCCCTATCTTTTTCCCACATCCAGACACCCCCCCCCCCAACCCCCCCCCCCCCCCCCCCCCACCACCAACCCGCATAATCATCGCCCTAACTGAGTTGAGAAAATTGTCTTGGCTTTCCTCAGAATTCAGCTTGATCACGAGGTGCTTTATAATACCAAGATTACGGAGGTAGAGGGACGTAGGAAGGGAGAGAGAATATTGACAAGGGGAGAGAAAGAAAAAGATAAGTGATAAAGAGAAGAGGGGAAGAAGGGAAAAGATAGGAATAAAGCGAGAGAGAGGAGAGGAAAGTAGACAAAAAGAGAGAAAGGAAAGTCCGGATAGAAATAGGCCTGCAGATAGGCTGTCCAGGATTGTGGGGTCGTTGCACCAAGTGACCGGTAATCACGAGACAGGACCCGAGAGTTGAAACACACATTCCTAAGAGACACGAACAATTAGGATAGATATATGTGTAAGACCACACCCACACGTTCTACCCACATCTTCCCCTCCCCATAATAATCACCCCCCCCCCATAATAATCACCCCCCCCCCCTTCCCCAGGAAGGGAGAGGGAGCCTCCAATGTCTTGTAATCGGACGCACTCGCTCATGGAGCTACTCAATTTAATATTTTATTCTTACTCAAAGCGACGTGTTTATATGTTTTTTTTAAAGGGTGAATGTGAAATTGTTTGAAGCGTCCCTGACATTCCCTCCCCCCCCCCCCCTCGCCTCAGTGACGTTGAAAGAGGACTTCAGGCAGTAAATTGTCAGTTAGGACGTGTAAGGGTGGACTTGGGGGTGGGGTGTTGCGTGTGTAATGTACTCGCCTGTTTCTGCTAGTAAGACCGAACGTCAGTCCTGGCCCCTAGGCAGTTTCAGATCACAGGTCCTCTAA